ATCTTCTTTCTCTCTCTGTAGAGGAGCTAGAGAAAGAATTTTGAGATGAGCTCAAGAACGAATTTTAAATGAGCCAAAGGGTGCTTTTTGTCACTTTATGGTTGTATTTTTCTATGAGTCGCTTCTCGATAGCCAACAGATTTTTCTGCCAGTTCGTCCATAAAGTCCGCTTACAGCTCGTCTATAACGACGACCTGCAGCTTTGCCTATAAAGAAGGCCAAACGTCTTTCCATAATGGTTTTCTCCAACTTCATTATAAAGAGACTATTCCGACTCGTTCAAAACTTTTTGTTCCGCTTCGTTTGAAAAAATTACCTTCAGATGGGCAAAACGCCGATCTAAGTTCGCCTGGGTATCAGATATCATATAAAGAAGGACTTCAGATTGTATATATATACGGTCCTAAGTCATCTATATCTACCCTTAAGGCTACATTCGGCTCGTCCAAAAAAAAAAAAAAAAAAAAAAAAACTATCATCGGCTTGTCCATGAATACTCTTTCAGAATGATTCCATTTTTGAGATACCCAACTGTCCTATGAGAAGACCATTTGGTCGTCAATAAAAATATTTTTGGTGTTCAGTTAGGAGAGCAGATCGTCTTCGACATGACGACCAACACTTTTTGTGAGAAGATAGACCGGTTTTCTCTTAGAATATCATGTCAAGATTTTATAAGTATACCACATGACTTTCGAGGAGGGGACCAAATTATCTTCTCCAAGAAGAGCTGGTTTTCTATGTTAATAATAACTGGACTTCAAATGAAAGATCAATTTCTTTTCTAACTAAGACCATCTATGACATGACATATGGCTATAAGACCCCTGAATGAATTATAAAATTCTGTGGGCATTTAGTCTGCTCCTTCCGGAAGCTGAAATTAAACGCACTCCTCCTATTTGCAGCAAACACAATTTTTACTTACCAAACACACCACATTTTTGTTGTGTTTGGAATTCTTCATTTGCCCCGCCATTCCGAATTTTACTTCTCCCTTTGCTTTGTACAAATTAAATAGAGTGAATGTGCCTTTGCATTTTAACCTAAATAAACTCTGACCGCAAAACCATGAAATTTAGCTTTGTATAGTATCCGGCATAGTTCGCTGGCCGGATCCTTTGGCAGTCAGGCTTTTAAATAAATAACAGGAGGCAAGCATACAAACCGTTTCTCCATTTCTCCACTGGTTTTTTTCTAAAACGCAAATACAAACAGCAGTCAATTGCATTTTTTTTACGCATACACACACACATACATATGTAGACAAAAAGGAAGAAGAGTTAAATGTGTGCGAGTGTGCGTTTCTGGGAATGCTGTATGCAGTTTGCTGAATATGCATACCAGCATCTGCTGCTCATACTCCAATAGACTGGGAGAGGGAGAGAGGGGAAGGGAGGGAGACAAAAGCACACAAGTATTTGTGTATGCCATACTGGTTTATTTTATTACTTGTGAGAGTTGGGAGTAGTGATGCGGGACCATCTCGCCCCATTCTGTCATTTGTCGGATTAAAGTTACCCAGAAACCCATTCACCAACATTTCTGTGCAAAGAACACATGGCATGGCATGAGAAATGTTGGCTGCCGTTTCTTGTTCATTTATAACATTACTACCAGGCAATGCATATGTTATACCGACAAATATACGTAAAAGAATGGCAAAAGGAAGGTGGGGGGATGAGAGAAAAAGAACTCTGGCCAACACTAAGTTCAGTTTTGTTCTTTACAACATTTTTGCTGGCCAGTTTGTGCGTAAATATATGCGTGTGTATGTGTCTGAGGGTCTGTGTGTGCGTTCACATGGGTCCTTGCATTTCCTTTTAAGCAAAATTAATGTTTGTTCCCTTCCATGTTCGCCATGTCGATACCAGGCAACCACATAAAACACATACAGCCAGACTGGCAACCAGGGCTATAGAGAAAGAGAGAAGAGAAGGTAGGAGGATCCAACATTTCATGCTACTGCTGTGGTTACTAGTTTGCCATGCAGCCAAGCATTCAACTATCCCCCAAGCCAGTCAGCCAGCCAAGTCATACCGACCATAAAGAGAATACATTTGTATTGCCGACCACAACTGCCAAATGGCACTCCAGTGTTAATAAGAAAATATTCTACAGGACTTGCTGCTGCTGCTGCCGCTACTCCTGACAGTCCTGGTAGCCGGCAGTGGCACAATGGCATCGAACGTAAAGTTGTTATTCTGTACTGGGATTGGTGGGAAGTCTTCTTTCTGTTTTTGATATTTATTCAATTAATTCAATTGTATTCAAAATTATATTGCCCGTATAAATAAACGGTGACCAAGAGCCAGCCAGCCAACGAAGCCAAAAACGGGAATAAACATATAAAGCCCCTAGAAGTATGCTTATAATTTATTTTCATAATAAAAATTAATGAAAGAGAGTATATAGAAGAGAGACAAAAAAAAAGAGTGGATTTTCTTATCGAGCATCTTCAGTGACGTCTTTTTTTTTGGGCGCCATAGGGGAGAGACAAACCTTTCACGAAAAAAAAGAGTGGACTTTCTTGACTAGATACAAGTCGGATTTACGTAGAGGATCAATTGATCCTTCCATAGCGGACCCGTGGGACTTTTAATTTCAGATTATTTTTTTTTAACACCATTTCTTTTTCTCAACAAGGACACTTAGGTCTTCTCAGAAGCCCGGTTGATCCTCTCAGAATCCTAGTTGATTCTCTAATAGTCGGTTGCTTATAATAATCCATTTGGCATTCTTATGCTCTAATGCGTCACTGACTCCCATAAGTTCGTCTCTGGAGACTCCCAACAGTTCGCCTAAAGAGGCTCCCATCAACTCGTCTCTGGAGACTCCCATCAGATCGTTTCTAGTGACTCCCATCAGATCGTTTCTAGTGACTCCCATCAGCTCGCCTCTAGAGACTCCCATCAGCTCGTCTCTGGAGACTCCCATCAATTCGCCTCTGGAGACTCCCATAAACTCGCCTCTGGAGACTCCCATAAACTCGCCTCTGGAGACTCCCATCAACTCGCCTCTAGGGACTCCCATCAGTTCGCCTCTAGAGACTCCCATCAGTTCGCCTCTAGAGACTCCCATCTGCTTGCCTCTAGAGACTCCCACCACCTCGTCTCTGGAGACTCCCACCACCTCGTCTCTGGAGACTCCCACCACCTCGTCTCTGGAGACTCCCACCACCTCGTCTCTGGAGACACCCATCAGCTTCAGCTCGCATATAAAAACAAGCTCATGCTCGTCTGTATAACATCAGGTCCAGCTGGTGGTCTATAGAAGACCAGCTCCAACTGGTGGTTTATAGAAGACCAGCGGCTCGTGTATAGAAGGCCAGGTCCAGCATCTCGTCTATAGAAGGCCAGCTCCAGCAGAAGATCAGTTCCAGCTGGTGGTCTATAGAAGACCAGTTCCTGCTGGTTGTCTATATAAGATAAGCTACAGCGCTTCTATAGAAGACCAGCTCCAGCAGCTCGTCTATGGAAGACTCGTCGTCTCGTTTATAGCAGACTTGCTCCAATTGGTGGTCTATAGAAAATCAGTTCCAGCTGGTGGTGTATAGAAGAACAGTTCCAGCAGCTCTTCTATGAAAGACCAGTTTCAGCTGATGGTCTATGGGAGACCAGGCGCAGCTGGTGATCTATAGAAGACCAGTTTCATCTGATGGTTTACAGGAGACCAGCTCCAGCTGCTCGTCTATAGAAGACCAGCTCTACCTCATCTCTCTCAGTTGGTCTGTAGGGGCCCTCTTGCATCCAGCTCGCCTATATTGATTATATGGCCTCCAGCTGGTCTGTATGATCTCCAGCTCCACTATACACACTCTCTGGCCTCCAGTTCGGCTATATAGACTCTCTAGCCTCCAGCTCGTCTATACAGACTCTCTGGCCTCCAGTTCGGCTATATAGACTCTCTGGCCTCCAGCTCGTCTGTATAGACTCTCTGGCCTCCAGCTCGTCTGTATAGACTCTCTGGCCTCCAGCTCGTCTGTATAGACTCTCTGGCATCCAGCTCGTCTATACAGACTCTCTGACCTCCAGTTCGGCTATATAGATTCTCTAGCCTCCAGCTCGTCTATACAGACTCTCTGCCCTCCAGCTCGTCTATATAGACTCTCTGGCCTCCAGCTCGTCTATATAGACTCTCTGGCCTCCAGCTCGTCTATAAAAACTTTATAGCCTCCAGCTCGCCTATATATAATCTATGGCATTCAGCTCTTCTATATAGAATCTATGGCATTTAGCTCTTCTATATGGACTTTCTGGCATCCAATTCTTCTATATAGACTCTCTGGCATCCAGCTCGTTCTTATAAACTGTCTGTTCTCCAGCTCGACTATATATACTCTCTGGCCTCCAGCTCGTCTATACAGACTCTCTGGCCTCCAGCTCGTCTATGCAGACTCTCTGGCTTCCAGCTTGTCTATACACACTCTCTGGCCTTCGGCTCGTCTATACACACTCTCTGACCTCCAGCTCGTCTATACAGATTTTCTGGCCTCTTGTTTGCCTATATAGGCATCCATCTCGACTATATAGACTCTTTGGTCTCCAGCTCGCCTATATGGAATGTTTGGCCTCCAGATCTCCTAGATAGAATCTTTGGCATTCATCTCGTCTATATGGACTCTCTGGAATCCCACTCTTCTGGCATCCCACTCTGGCAACCAGCTCGCCTTTCCTTCTTTCTTTTTTTTAAATCTATATTCAAAAAATCTTGTGCTAATTTTCCATTTTCAACTCTGCTCTAAATACTCCTTGATACCACAAAACAAGGACAAAACTTTAAATATAAATGGATTTTTCATGTTACTATTGTTCTCTTTATTCTTAATGTATTATTTTCTTCTTCTTTTTTCCACCACTCAATTCCTTTTCAGAAAACTTCATGGTAGCATTTTTAATATAATATTTTCACATTTATGATGACATGAAACTTGAAATGAAATTTTTCATAAAAAAAAGCAAAACAAAAAAGACAATTGCCAACATCTGAACATTACTTACCACTTCATCGGAGCCATCATAACAATCCGGATCTCCATCACATTTCCATTTCTTGTGAATGCAGGCACCATTCGAACAGGTAAATTCATGGGCGCCACATGGCACTTTGGCGCAATTCTTCTCATCCGAACTGTCGCCACAGTCATCGTCGTGATCGCATATCCAGCGTTTTTGAATGCAACGTCCATTGCCGCAGGTGAACTCGTCAGAGCGACAGGTATCATCTTAAGGTGTTTTAAATTTATCATTGCAGTTGTTTTTGTTGTTGGTTGGTTGGTTGGAAAAATGATTAATTGCAAAAATTCAAGGAAGGAAGAAAAAAAAGGAAAAATATATTAAAAATGTGTTGAGGAAAGTACTTAATTAAGGTTAGTTTCGAAATATTTGTCTGTACCATTTAATGCCAAAGGGGTTAGTTGTTGGGTTTAGTAAAATTTGTTTGTTAGGAAAAAAAGTGCAAAAATAATAGGATTTTTTTTTTCAAAGGATTTCACAAAGAAATAAATTAAAAAAGTGCAATAAAAGTAAAAAAATAAACCACCACCAGACGGATACACTAATTTTTAAAACAAGATGACATTTACATCTACATTTATATTAACAATGGCCTATGTCGATCTACGTGTCGGCACATTTATCTAAATCATCTCAAATTCCGGGTTCAGATTACCAAAAACGTTTGCTACAATTCCACTACTCTATTTAGTTTCCACATAGAGGCACCTAATGAATTCCTGTTTTTCCCCCACAATATCTTACAGACCAAGTTGTCAATTTAATAAGTTCTTGCTATAGCCCTCGCATAGCCACATTTTCATTAAAATTCAGCCTCATACTTAAAGAGTACCAAATGCAGGTATTTATATAATTTTTTTCTTACAAAAAAAATGGATTATTTAAAGGAACATTTTTTGAACGGATCAAGTAACCTAGGTTTGTATTTTATGTGGATTTGATTTATATGTATGTGGATTTTGTTAAAATAATTTCTTAACAGGATCAAAAACGTAGAATTAACAATCGTGGATTTTTTGAAAAATATTTTTGGAGTATTGGATTTTTTAAAAAAAATATTTGTTTTCTAGGACCTACAAACACGAATTTTTTAAAAAATGTTTTTTGCGAGGACCACCCCTCTTGGATTTTTAAATACCAATGAACATGGATTTTTTAAAAATATTTTTCGAAGTTTAAAAAATACTTGTTTTGCTAGGATCAACGACCGAAAATTATTTTTCGAATTTAGGAGTTTTAGAGCCTAAAAACGCAAATTTAAAAAAAAAAAAAACGTTTTTTACAAGGACCAACAAAAGTGGATCTTATTAAAAATATATTGTTTTGCAAGGACCAACCAACATAGATTTAAAAAAATGATCAAATATTCTTAAAAAACCCCACATTTCTTTATTTTTTTTCATGAAGAAATATTCTTAAAAAGGATAAAATATTTTGGTCCTTGAACATATATTCTTAAAAAACCCCACGTTTCTTGATCTTTTTGTTCATGAAGAGACATTCTTAAAAAGGACCAAGTTTCTTGGTCCTGTGGTCCTTGAACAAATATTCTTAGAAAAAATCACGTTTGTAGATCCTTGGTCCTTGCAAAAATACTCTTAGAGAATTCCACGTTTGTAGGTCTTTGGTGCTTGAAGAAATATTTTTAGAAAAATTCAGCTTTGTAGGTCTTTGGTCCTTGAAAAAATATTCTTAGAAAAATTAACGTTTGCAGGTCCTTGGTCCTTGAAAAAATATTTTTTAAAATATACACGTTTGTAGGTCATTGAAAATATATATTTTTTAAAAAATCCACGTTTATAAGTTTTTGAAAATAATATTTTTTTTTTTTTGAAAAATATACGCCTGTTGTTCCTTGAAAAAAAGTCTAAAATTGAAAAAATATTATTTAAAAAATCAACAACTGATGTTCCTTGAAAAAAAATCGAAAAAATTCATCTCAATTATTGAAAAAAAATTCTAAAAATCCATGTTTTTTGTTGAAAAAAACATTATTTAAAAAATCCACGTCTGATGTTCCTTGTAAAAATATTTTTTTAAAAATCCACGTCTATTAGTTCTTGTAAGAAATATTTTTTAAAAAATCCACGTCTATTAGTTCTTGTAAGAAATATTTTTTAAAAAATCCACGTCTATTAGTTCTTGTAAGAAATATTTTCTAAAAAATCCGCGTCTATTAGTTCTTGTAAGAAATATTTTTTAAAAAATCCACGTCTATTAGTTCTTGTAAGAAATATTTTCTAAAAAATCCACGTCTATTAGTTCTTGTAAGAAATATTTTTTAAAAAGTCCACGTCTATTAGTTCTTGAAAGAAATATTTTTTAAAAAATCCACGTCTGTTGTTCTTTGAACAAATTATTTTCTTAAGAATCCACGTCTATTAGTTCTTGAAAGAAATATTTTTTAAAGAATCCACGTCTATTAGTTCTTGAAAGAAATATTTTCTAAAAAATGCACGTCTATTAGTTCTTGAAAGAAATATTT